TCTCTCTCTCTCTCTCTCTCTCTCTCTCTCTCTCGTCTCTTCTCTTCGTGTCGTCTCTCTCTCTCTCTCTCTCTCTCTCTCTCGTCTCTCTCTCTCTCTCTCTCTCTCTCTCTCTCTCTCTCTCTCTCTCTCTCTCTCTCTCTCTCTCTCTCTCTCTCTCTCCGTTCTCCAGTCTCTGTATCTGTATCGCTCCCCTTCTCTCTCTTACTCTCACTCTGTCTCTCTCCTCTCTCTCTCGCTCCGTTCTCCAGTCTCTGTATCTCTATCGCTCCCCTTCCCGGCTCTCTCTCTCTCTCTCTCGCCTCATCTGTCTGTCTCGCAGGTATAAAGTGAAACCTGGGTGGAAGTGTGTGAGTTTTCGTGAGACTGAGAATTCAGTTTACACACAGGGTATGGATGTTATCAAGAGTCTATAATAGAAAATTTCTTGTTATGGACTCTTGATGTTATAGTTGATCCACTTTCACATTTGCCCACTTCATAGATGTTAAATGTCTCGTACTGTATCATGCATGATACCCTATGAGCTTGTTAGCAGATGTCTGACTACACACTGACGCACGACTCTTCCACTGAACCCTACTGTACCCACATTCTCCCCGACTGCCAGTCAGTCGCATAGTATAGCTGCAGTCTGTAGGTATATATATATATATAGTATACCTGCTAGAACGTTGTGCTAAAGGTATCAAAATTATTTTTGCGAAGCGTGTAGCGAGTGGTCATGCACAATTTATGCGGTAGGATTATGCCGCCGCCGTTGCTGCGGCTGCATTTTGGCATCTGTGATACGGAGATTGTTTACCTGTGGATATACGCACGCACTGCTCTAGCACACTAATACACTATAATGCTCCGTAACACACGTGTGCGCGCGTACAACACACTCTTTTGTGATTCTCGTCGGAAAAATTTGTAGGCTCCGGATTTAGGTCAGTGCATGAAATTGGGATGGACTTTCGTAGTGCAATACCTGGCGGGAAAAAAATTGCAGCTGCTAGAGGGATATCAAGAGCGTATAGAGAAGAACCCTTTTTTATACGCTCTTGGTGATATCTCTGCGTATCGTAGGCGATCCTTTGCGAATTTGTTTGATATCTCCACACCTGTCCTGGGGAACTGAGAAGGTGTAGAAGCAGTACGCTCTCTGAAACATGCATGTTCAAATATACATCATGTACACGTGCACGCACGTACAGACGAAATTCGTATGACCTACAGTAAAGCACTGTGCAGAGAGACTGGGCTGTGGTGGCTATTGATTAGGCCAAGGCACATTGCTTCTGTGTTGCACGCACGCACACACATAGGACCAACCTGGCAGACGTCCTGTTTTCACAAAGTCATGCCAATTTAACCCTGTTCTGTGGGGAGATAGGCATAGCGAGATGGAGAGAGAGAGAGAGAGGTGAAAAAACTGGTTATTTCCCTAGATCTGTTTACTTGGCCCAATGTCAGAGAGCCTGAGTATTCTGCTGTAGCATTGTAAAACATGGTCATGTTGGAACTAGGACAGGCTGGCGAGCAGGTGGGGCATAGGGTCGTGAATTTATTTCGTGCGTGTGTGACACTGACAGTGAATGAGGCAGGGCTCGAAAAATAACAAGATGTACGATTACTGCGTGTAAAATTATCTCTGCCCCCTGGGTACACAAACTAGGGGCTTGGTGGTGGTGGGGGGGGGGGTACTGTAGGTTAGTGTTAGGGGTTGCTTGGTGTTAGGTTAGCCGGGTTAGTGATAGAGTTAGGATAAGGTTAGGGTTAAGGATAGTGGAAACGTTCTAAAAGTACCCAGGGAGACGTGGATCCTTTCATAGAGCCTTTTGTAGAGCGCGTTCAGCTTTACTCCTTACACAATACTACCGTCGAAGACACGTCTGTATGCTCCAGCTCTCGTCTGCCTCTCACTCCCCTGGCAATTTGCCTCACCGCCACCGACCTTGCTAAAGTATATAAAGGTTATCATTGTGCGTAGTACAAATTCTACAACAATATCTCGCAAGAGTTTTCCTGGAGTCAATGGGGGCAATTTCACCGCATTACGACAGTGTGCACACAGACACACACATACACACAGAAAGGGTGTGGGCCCTGGTGCGGGTACGTTACAATGACGTGATAATATCTCTGCCAGTGTTTAGTATAAACTTGTCCTTCGCGCGCTGTTTGTTGTTGGAGCTGTGAAGCAAAGCCTCGTTACGTGGCCAGGGTCAGAATGTTAAGTGTACGTCAATAGAATGTGTGCGTATGCTCGCGCATGTGATGTTTATCGGCTGCTTTCGTGTGACACAGAAGCTTTTTAGTTACATATATACATGTACAAACACGCGCGCGAATGCACGCATGCATAAACATTACGCCCGCACGCACACGAACGCGCACACATGCAGGCAGGCATGTACACATCACATTGTACACGCTCTGTAAATCTGTAACTGCTGCACACATCAAATCAAATAATTTTTCAAATAATTCTTATGTATTCGTTTATTTCCATTGTATATGATCATTCCATGGCCAATAAATATGCTTGTTTATAATAATGATAATAATTAAAATAACAAATTTACCGAACGATTAAGATGCGGCAGTATGTATTATAAACGGATAATTTTACTTACAGGCAGGCATACCCTTTGCCGCTGCAAAGTTTCTTACTTGTAAATGTATCGCGTGTGCTTCTAGAACAAATTGCAAGATTATTCAGTGCACGATTCTGTCTACAGTAGCACCCCTCCCCCCGTGCACACACGTACTACATACACT